AATTTTTATTCTATTTTTTTAAATCTACAGTTTTTATTTGATTCTATACATAAATTTATCATATCAATTATATAACATTTTGAAAAATAGCAAATCAGTGACCAAAATTAGTGCTTTCCGTTTAGCTTGGCAGTTGATGGAATACTTATGTTGCACCGAAAAAGTAAAAAAAAAGTCATTCCCACGAAATTAAATTTTCAAAATTTCAAAATATGTATTTAAGAAACCTTTTCTAACATTACATTTAAATTTTGAAAGAATGAGAGTACAACGGAATTATTTATATGGCAGGAATTTGAAATTTCAATGATATTTTTTTCCAATTGCGAAATATGACATTAAATTCCACTATAATTTTGTGTTTAATTGTAAACTTTTTACCAGATATGTACACACATTCTCCAGAATTCATTAAAAAAAAAGGTTAGAATAAAAAAGAGCAATGTAAGCAAGACAATTTACAAACGAAAAAAAAACTTTATAATTTTTTTCATATTCATAGTCCTTATGAAAACACTTTTATATAAACTTTTTTAAATTATTTTTTATACAAATACATATTTGAAGATATTTATTTCTTAAAATAACTGTTGATTTAATTTTGTAAATATGCATTAACCTGCTATTCATTTTTGAATTATGCTCAAAAATGTACACGAAAAAGTTTGTGTCTAAAGTCTTTTGTCTTTTGAACACTTGCAGTAAGGAACGCAAACCAAGTATATTTAATATATGCTTAATTAACAACTAAAAGATATTTTTTTTATTTAAATCATGAAATACTAACCCAAAGAGCCAAACATGGCCACACACAGTGTTGCATTTAATAAAATCTTAAACATTTTCACTAATTTTCAATTTATTATAGTTTATATGGCGTATCCTTCGGGRAAAGTCCTTTACAAATTTCTTATAACTTTTATTTTTCACCAAAGCGTGCTTTGCAAAAAACGCACTACAACGCGTAAGCTTTCGTTTAAGACTGAATGYTGCGGTGACAAGCAGCGGCGGATAGAAGCTCCGCTAAAACGTAGGCAATAAGTATAGGCAGCTTCTAGCTGAAGTCAGTCACTTGAAATAGTTGTTATTAAACTTTGCTGTTGAGATAAAAACAAAAATAAGAAAAATACAAAACAAAAGCAACAACAGTATCCAGTTTGCACAAAATTTAATAGCCGTGCTTTGGGTTTTGGACCTGTTAAGTTGACAAAAAGATGTGACCGACGGGTACGAAAAATACACACCTATATATATATATATATACCAATGTATATATATTTAACAGTACATAAGTATAATTATATGTGTGTATATTTAAACGTAAGCTTAACAGCAGCCTGCACTTTAGTGGGTGAGTTATGGATGCTGTAGAGCGACGAGCAGCGCTTGTGCTTGAAAGCTCACAACGGCATCGYCAGCGATGAAAGCGAAATTGTTTGAAGCGAAAAAATATGAAAATTTTGACGCACATCTTCTCTGGCAAKTTTTCTGCGTGCTTCGAGATTTTGCATATACAAGTGCGTTAGTAAATTTCCAAGAATGAGCTGATTTAATGCTCTCGCCATGTGTTTCTAGCAGGGTTTAAAATTTATGTTACAAAAAAAAGTTGAGGCAGTAGTTAGGTGCCAAAATATKTAAAATTATAAGGCGAATGTATTGTTAGACCGATTTTGCTTGGCCGTCKGTTTTGGCTAATCCGTTCAAACTGAAAAATTGTGATGAATCTTAAGTATTTTCAAATAACGAATATTTATATGTATGAATAAAATTTTATTTTTTAACTGATATCTATGTAAATAGTGAGAATAAACAATTTTCCAAACTAGTAATGGTAAAATCTGAGATATCGGTTAAT